ATTCCATAACGCTTTTGAAGTTTCCATGACACTATAGACATTGTACAAGCCATCTTCCAAACATCTCAATATGTAGTTTTTGCACAAGAAATCAGAATGTTTCCATGCTTCAATTACAACAAGTCGTTCATCATCCAGAGTATTTTCAGCCATGACCGGAGGATCCTCCTTGATGAANTGTAACAGTAGCACCCGTTCCCGCAACATTTCCCTTAGTTTGGTTTTCATTCGACATGTTTCTGTAGAGTTGGAAACAAAACAAAACTTTGTTAAATCAGTGAAGTTTTGATATCTTCAAACTGAATACCAAACCAAACACACAACACGTAACAATGGTAAAGTTTTTATATACTTCAAACCCGTACGTTTCTTATTCCGGTAAAGTTTTGTTATACTTTAAACCGGACAGAACAATTATTGGAGTAGAAAGCACGAAGGCTTTAGTCTCCAAACCTGTATATAAAATATAGATAACAGTTTAATATATATGTTTCAACACAGAACCGTTAGATTATAAAATTCCTTAAGCTTGTAACTCACTTCTGTGTGGAAACACAAAATTAGGAAGAAAATAAAAATAAAAACTGTTAGAAGGAAAAACTGGAACAAAAAACAGTAAACAATAAGAAATATTCCGAGTCCACAATTTTCTTATGCGTCCTTAAGGAATTTTAACCCCCTCACACGTTGCCAAGGTAATGGATTAAATCCTCCCAGGATAAAACGGAATAAACCTTCCTGCAACAGTGGCAATACAAACTACAAGATACCAACGAACTCAAAGAACGGAGCAAAATCACACTTACGAATTTGAGAGAGAGAGACTGCGAATAAGGATGCAGTGTATTCAGAAAGAAAGAAGTTCTGGAGTGTTTTTCGTATTTCGAAAATGGAGCTTTGCCTCAAAATTTATAGGCAATTATCAGAAGAGGTGTCTGGAAAAGTTGTCTTTTCAGAAGAATACGCTGCCTGCCGCGGTTCTACCGCGACAGCGACAGAACCGCGGTCAGATAGGCTCTCTAAATCTGCCTTCCGCGGTTCCACAGCGGTCGCGGTAGAACCGCGGCCAGAGAGACCCTCTGAATCTTCAGCAGGATTCTGGCGTATTTTCAGCAGTGATTTGACATTTAATTAATTATTAAATAATTAAATAAATTTTGTCCAAAAAATAATCTTATCGATCGATTTGACAAATCCGAAGCCGAAGCCGAAGCCAAAGCCGAGCCGAGCGAGCGACCACGACAACCGCGCGAGGGTTCATTCTCTTCAACTCCTTTTAAGAGCTTTAAGAAGTGATTCTATATATAAGTACACAAATGTGGTTGTCCCTCACCAATGAGGGACAAAGTGCAAGACAAAAGTTCACTTCTTCAAATTTTTCATTTTTCCTCCATTTTCAATTCACACTTCTTCTACTTTAAAGCTCAATGGCTTAAAGTACAACACAAATCTCATACCTACCAAATTAAACACAAAGGAATATATATTGTCACGTGTAAAAAACATATTAGATCCTCACGTGAGGGGATGTTGAGACGTAACTAAGTAATCTATACATGAGGGCACGGTGTGACATAACATATGAAGCAATCAAAATGTGTTTTCTTTAACTATCTTAGACATGCTCAAAGAACTGTAACATTCTCAAGCGACTAAGTATTTACATTGTTTTATATTATCAAAGTAATTTAATCAGTTATAGTAGGTTATTATACTATTCCATATTAAGTTTGATACATAGAGCTACTTACTGTTGTAAGTCATCTTAACCAAATAATGTAAAAAAAAATTACAATGTGCATAGAAAATAAGCTCATCTTACCGATGCCCAATGGCTAAAAGCACGTCGAAAAGCATCCTTTATCTCCGACTTGCTCAAAGAAGTTATCACATTCTCCGGCGAGAATGCGTACGTTAAAGTTATAGGTATACTTCTTGACCATCTCGGCCGGCCTGAGAAAAATGCGTAATGTCTCTTTGCATGCATGAATTTAGGGGCAGAATCGGATACGCCGCACCTAGGTGAAATAATCTGAGAAACTGTATTTTCATCAAGTTTTCCAGTGACTGAAAGACCTAACTTTTCCTGATATTTAATCAAGGCATGCTCCAAGTGATCATCAAATAAATCAGTAAAATTCAAGTTGTCCATCTTCAAGTACCCGAATCGATGAAAATATTTCTTGAGCTCAGAAATCCCATTGATTTTGTTGCCTCTAGTGGCATCCACAAATTTCCCAAATTCATGCCATGTATAACTTCGAATTTTATGATTATCTGTGGGGTTTATAGTCTTAGTGGAAAAAAATGGTGATGTTCTAGTAGAAAGACACGGAGAGGAGAAGAGAAAGAAGACAAGGAGAAATAAGGAAGAGAAGAAAGACATATTGAATTGTGAGATATGGGTGAAGATGCTTGGTTATAAAGGAAACGACAAATTTGTTATTGTGAAGTGGATGTGCAATTAATTAGTAGTAACAATATTGAATTGTGACGGCCGCGTAATTTCCGTTGATTTGGCAAAGTGTGTTATGATGGAGAAGTTAGGATAAATCTTCCTTCTTGCTTTTCTAGTTGTTTTTATCTTTTTTTTCTTTTTTTAAAGATTTAATTCTGACTACTAAGGATAAGGGGAATTGGTTGGTGAATCACTGTATTTTTCATTCTATTTAAGTTATATACACAAATAAAATTTATTTACAGTTTTACTAAGTTAACAATTAATGTTTATTTTAGAAACTTATCAGTCTTTATTTTAAGATTTAACTTATATATGTTGATGTTATACAGAACTTTAAACTATCAGTCTATTTTGACCTATTATAACACGATAACTACCTTTTTTATGTTACTAATTATACTTATTATGAAATAATGTTACTTGCAGTTTTCCTTTTGGTGATATGATAGTTACTTTATAATTGAACTGGTAGTACAAATATCTTTTAGACTATCGATGCATAAAATTTAGATACTTTCCGAATTGGTAGCTGCTTCCTATGAGCCAAGTTTCACACAACTTACCATTTTTGCTCGTTCTTCTCATTTCCAGTCTGTGTTAAATCGCTGAATAGACTAATTAATTTCTAAAAGTAAATAAATTGAGAGCAATGTTCTAGCAAACTGACTAGTTACTATTTCTAACACATATCATGTTCTTTGTTTCTGAAAATAAAGAATTTGAGGTGTGGACCGTGTCAGAAGCAAGAGAGCTCAGAATTTGGTAAGGTATGGCCACAATAGAGTTACTATTGTGAATGGGTTTGTTTGGTTTTCAAGTAAAAAGAAAGTGGCAAACTGTTAGAACCAAAGTCGATACACCAGTATAGAAGGTAGTTATGATTATGATTGCTAGAGTCAGAAAAGAGAGGTAGTTTGAGACGTGTAAGAGACTCAAAAGCAACTTATGAAAGCAAGCAAAACTGTCCTTTTCGAGTCTTACTATTTTCGCTTATATTTATATAATCAAACTATTTAAAAGATAATAATAATAATTAACTCTATATAATAAGTACCATTGATTGATAACTTAAAAGAAAATAATACTTCCTCCCTCCCAATTATGTGGTACCGTTTGAATTTCGAGAGCAAACGTTTTAATTTTAAGTTTTTTGAAATAAAAATTATATTTAAAAATTACATAAAAAGTATTATAAGTCATAATATTAATAATTTAAAATAATTAAAAAGTATATAAAAATTTGCGATCAAAGAACAACTCGTTTGACTCTTGAATGTAACGACCCGACCGGTTGTTTTGAGCTCTAGCACATCGTTCGGCAGTTTGAGGCCATGAGCAGCTTCAATTCAGGTATTATGACTTGTACGCGTGGTCGGAATTGAATTTCGAGAAGTTCGGAGTTCATTTGGAAAGAAAATTCTCACATCGGAAGCTTTAAGTTGGAAGAATTGACTAAGGTTAGATTTTTGGGTAAATGACCTTGGAATCAGAATTTGAAGGCTCCTACATATAAGTATGATGAATTTGGACTTGGATGTATGTCCGGATCGGGTTTTGGATGACCCGGAAGCATTTCGGCGCCTATTGTGGAACTTAGCATTTTGGAAGAATTTCATAAATTTGGGTTGAAGTGTATTTCAATGTTATCGATGTCCGTTTGGGATTCCGAGTCTGGGAATAGCTATGTATGGTGATTCTGGTGTTGGGAGCGTATATGGAAGTGGATTAGGAGGTCCGTAGGTCATTTTCGGGCCATTTGGCGAAAGTTAGAAATTTGACGGTTTTGAGGAGTTTTATCGGAAGTGAACTTTTTGATATCAGGGTCGGATTCCAATTTCGGAAGATGGAGTAGGTCGTAATGTCAAATGTGACTTGTGTGTAAAATTTGAGGTCAATCGGACGTGATTTGATAGGTTTCGGCATCGAACGAAAAAGTTCGAAGTTCTAGAGTTCATAAAGGTTGAATTGGGGTGTGTTTCATGATTTCGGCATTGTTTGATGTGACATAAGGCCTCAAGTAGGTCCGCGTTATGTTTTGGAACTGGTTAGTATAATTGGACGGGGTCCTGGTGGGCCACGAGTGAATTTTGGATGGTTAACGGATCGAATTTGGAATGTGAAGAAGAGTTGAGGCAACTGATATCTGGTGTAACCGAACATGCGAGGTTTTGGCCGCAAGTGCGGAGCCGCAGAAGCGAAACTGGGCCGTCAGGGGAAAGACTGCAGGTGCGGGTTGCTGGCTGCATCTGCGCAGGCGCAGAAGCGAAAAAGTTCAGCGTAGAAGAGGAAGAAGGCGCAGAAGCGGAAGGGTTCTCGCACCTGCGAAGCCGCAGGTGCGGCTACTATTTTGCAGGTGCGGAAAGAGCGTTGGGCAGTAGGTTTCTTTAAAACGGGGATTTGTCCCATTTTCCCTCTCATTTTCATTTGGTTTGGGCGATTTTGGAGAGTTTTAAGGATAGATTTTCATCAAGCAACTCAAGGTAAATGATCCCCATTTATTATAAGTTAAATACATGGTTTGCATAAGGATTTAAACATGGAAATTAATAGAAATTGTGTGGTTTTTGGTAGAAAACCTAGAATTTGGTATTTTGGATTTTGACCACGAATTCGGGCACGAAATTGAGAATAAATTATATATTTGAGTTTGTGAAAGTATGGGTAAAGTTTATCTTCGAAAATTTTCGGAATCCGGGCACGTGGACCTGAGGGTGATTTTATCAACTTCTCGAGCGGAGTTGGGAATTTGTATAAATCGAATTGTTGTGAGTATTAGAGTATATTTTTATGGGTCTGCACGTTTATTGACTAGTTTTGGAGCACTGGGCATCGATTTGAATTGTTGGAAAGGCTTGGGAGTCGGCTATGGAGCTTCGGAGTGAGGTAAGTCTCCTTTCTAACCTTGCAAGAGGGAATTAACCCCATAAGTGAACTAAACTAATACATGCTTCAATTTGTGGGGGACTACGCCGTACGTAGATACTAATTATGCCTATGTCCGGGTAGCTCTAGGTTTATACCATAATTTGCTAATACCGATATTTGATCCTATTCTTTACTTGTGTTGAAAACATTTAGATCGAGTATGCTTATTACATACCCTGAAAAGAGTTGAAATTGAGGATTTCGAGACTTGAAAGTTTCATTTGGGATTTCATGTGTTGAAAAGAATTAAAGAATATTATAAAAATGATTATTTGAGAAATTTTATGTGTAACCGCATTGCAATTATATTCCGTGAGTGGGGTAAATTTCCACCACTCTTATGAGATCGGGTCGTTCACCTTGGTAGGATTATGTATTTCACTCTTATGGGATCAGGTCATTCACCTCAGCAGGATTTATGTACCATACTCTCATGGGAGCAGGCAGTTCGCCTCGACAGGTTAATAGATGCATCTACGGTTCGTGTCGTTCGACCCTCGACAGTGCACAGTTTAATTATTATGTTGGATCGGATTGTACGCCTCGGCATTTCCTATATTATATCCTCATGGAATCGTGCATAATATTTGGCAAGCAGCTAGTGTATTCATGAGTTATCCGGGTTTGAAACTTATGATAATCTACTTGACGAGGCCTACTACACCCTTATGTGTGCTTCGGTTAATGAGGGAATTTCTAATGGGAAGCTTGAGTTCATAGTAAAGAGGGAAAATTTGTATCATGTACCTTTATGTTTATTTAATTCATTTATTTATTCTGTCCTAAATTTATTTACCTCTTTACTGTACCGGATATTATTGGACTACTAGTAAGCATGGGAGTCGACCTCTCGTCACTACTTCTTCGAGGTTAGACTTGATACTTACTGGGTACGCATTATTTTTGTACTCATGCTGCACTTGCTGTACATTTTTTGTACATGCATATGCACATATAGTGGCCTCGTGGGTGCATCAGCGTGGTTTATGCAGGGACTTAGGTAAGATGCATCTTATGTACGATCCGCAGCCAGCAGGGTCTCCTTCAGAGTATTTACATTTTTCTTTCCTGTCCAATTTGTATTCCAGATAGTTTTTGTATTTTATTTTATTTCCTAGTAAATGCTCATGTACTTGTGATACCGGGTTCTGGGATGATTATGGGATATTCAGTATTGAAAATGGAAAATAATATTATTATTCTGTAATTTTCATCTTTTACTAGTTAAATTAAAGGAAATTTATGATTTCAAATATATTAAAAATGAGAATTTAATTAACTATTTAGTGTTGGCTTGCCTGAAAGTGGTGTCCGACGCCATCACAACCTTTAACGGATTTTGGGTCGTGACAACATGGTATCAAAGCACTAAGTTCACTTAGGTCTCACGAGTCATGATCAAGTCTAGTAGAGTCTTACGGATCGGTACGGAGACATTTGTACTTATCTTCGAGAGGCTACAGGGCTGTTAGGAGCACTTCCCTTCTTGATTCCTCATCGTGTGATTTGATTCCCTTGAGGCTTATCCCTTTGTTTCTTTCCTATTCAATCTTATGCGACGCAAAGCGCTTGTTATAAATCAGGAACTTGAGGAATTGTAATGGTACTACAGATGTGATGCAAGATGTTTCTCGCTCCGTACTTGATTGGGCTATTGTCGTCGCCTTGCGGAAGGTCGTTCTACCATTTCAGCTCAGTATCAGTATTTCCTAAGGCTTTGAGATTTGGCATTGATTGTTATGATGATTCGTGCGTTGCTATTGTGAGCACGTGATTTTTGCCTTACGAAAAATTACTCCAAAATAAATCAAAATAAATTTCTNATCGCACAGTATTTGTGTAATAGTAGGGTGCTTGCCTACGCGTCGAAGCAGTGAATAACTTGAAAGGAGGTTTACTCAGTACATGATTCAGAGATTTGGTATTTTTTTTCTGATGAAGGAAAAGCAATCGTCCTATGAATGCTCAGATTTGGGTTGATGGAGCAACGAGTCTTGGTG